TGGAGATGATAGCAAGATGGTACTAAATAGTATAGAAACACTATCTAATCTGCCTAAAGATAACAGTTCAGCAGGACTGATTAAGACCACAAAAGAAAATTGACAAATAGGAAGTCCCAGCAGTTGGTGATTTAGATAAGCTGCTGAATGAAGGTAAAGACAGGATAATACTAATGGTCAAAAAGGAGCTTAATTTATCAAGGAAAATTAAATTTATATTAGAAACCTAGATATCAGAAGTCCCTTCTGATGAGCCAGGTCAGGCGAAACGTGCGCGTCAGGGGTTCCTAGCATGTTGTTTCTATAATTCAGTTACCAGCACTTGAATTTGCGACCGAGCTATTTGATTTATTAGTTTATTTATTTTCTTTCATTAATTCATCTTTATTAAATTTTTTCTACTATCATATCGGCACTTGCTTAGTGGGGATAGTGGCAGGCAGGGGTCAAGTCCTGGGGAAAAAAGTGTGGGAACTCACCCAAGATTTCCCCTCTAAAAAAAATTAAAAAATTACACTCCTATATAGTGCATATAGTGCAGTGCAGGGTGTGTATTATGAATATAGTGTGTTTGTAGTGAATGCAGAGTATGAATAATAAATGTAGTGTGTTTGTAGTGAGTGCAGTGTGAATAATAATTGTAGTGTATTTGTAGTGAGTGCAGAGTGTGTATAATGAATGCAGTGTGTTTTTAGTGAGTGCAGAGTGTGTATAATGAATGTAGTGTATTTGTAGTGAATGCAGTGTGTATAATAAATGTAGTGTATCTGTAGTGAGTGCAGTGTGTATAATAAATGTAGTGTGTTTGTAGTGAGTGCAGTGTGTATAGTGAATGTAGTGTTTTTGTAGTGAGTGCAGAGTGTGTATAATGAATGTAGTGTGTTTGTAGTAAGTGCAAATTGTGTATAATGAATTTAGTGTGTTTATAGTGAGTGCAGAGTGTGTACAATGAATGCAGTGTGTGTAGTGTGTTTGTAGTGAATGCAGAGTGTGTATAGTGAATGTAGTGTGTAGTGAGGGCAGAATGTGTATAATGAATGCAGAGTGTGTATAGTGAATGCAGAGTGTGTATAGTGAATGTAGTGTCTAGTGAGTTCAGAATGTGTATAATGAATTTAGTGTGTTTGTAGTGAGTGCAGAGTGTGTACAATGAATGCAGTGTATGTAGTGTGTTTGTAGTAAATGCAGAGTGTGTATAGTCAATGTAGTGTGTAGTGAGTGCAGAATGTGTATAATGAATTTAGTGTGTTTGTAGTGAGTGCAGAGTGTGTACAATGAATGCAGTGTATGTAGTGTGTTTGTAGTGAATGCAGAGTGTGTATAGTGAATGTAGTGTGTAGTGAGGGCAGAATGTGTATAATGAATGCAGAGTGTGTATAGTGAATGCAGAGGGTGTATAGTGAATGTAGTGTGTTTGTAGTGAGTGTATAGTGAATGTAGTGTGTTTGTAGTGAGTGAAGAGTGTGTATAAGGAATGCAGTGTGTGCGTGCGCTGGATGATGTGTGTGAGTGCTCTGGATGATGTGTGTGAGTGCTGGATGATGTGTGTGAGTGCGCTGGATGATGTGTGTGAGTGCGCTGGATGATGTGTGTGAGTGCGCTGGATGATGTGTGTGTGTGAGTGCTGGATGATGTGTGTGTGTGAGTGCTGGATGATGTGTGTGTGTGAGTGCTGGATGATGTGTGTGTGTGTGTGTGTGCTGGATGATGGGTGTGTGTGAGTGCTGGATGATGGTGTGTGTGTGTGCTGATGATGGGTGTGTGAGTGCTGGATGATGGGTGTGTGAGTGCTGGATGATGGGTGTGTGAGTGTTGGATGATGGGTGTGTGTGTGCTGGATGATGGGTGTGTGTGTGCTGGATGATGGGTGTGTGAGTGCTGGATGATGTGTGTGGGGGGGGGAGCATTTTTTTTTAACTTTATGTGTATGTATATTTTTTTTATTTTATTCCCCCCTCCCTGCTTCTTACCTTGTCAGGGTGGGGGGAGATCGCCTGGTGGACCGGTGGAGGGAGCCAGCCGCTGCACAGAGGGGCCATCGCACGCTGTGTTCCCTCTCCAGCTCTAACTCTCGCGAGACTCGCCTGTGCGGAGCGTTGCCATGGTAACAGCCGCGGGTCTCGCGAGAGTTATAGCTGGAGAGGGAACACAGCTCTGTGCAGGTAGCAGGGCCGGTCCTGCAGGACAGGTAACGGGAACGGCGTTCCTGCTTTGGAAAAAGTGCAGGAACGCCGTTCCCATGCGTTCCTGCAGGACTCGAGCCCTGGTGGCAGGTGCCCTTGAAGGCACAGGGGGAGTGCTAGCTGTAGGATTTGAAGTATAGCTAGTTGATTGCGCAGGTATCAGCATCCTGACAAGTCTCAGTTTACATCTTGAAGAGTTAGCACTAACAGAATTCTATACACTGAGTACTTAGAGATCCAGCTATAGAACCCATTAGCAACTTAACCCCTTAAGGACTGAGCCAAATGTACACGTTGTGAACGAAACAAAATGTAAA